CCTTCTCTCTCTCGTTTAAGCACAATTAATCTTTGTATAATTTGAGTTTTGTACTGGTGCAAGTGGGTGCTTTTATAATATTATCTGCTAATGTTTCCTTATAAGGTTACAATTGTTCGAATCTGTATCTGGAAAAACGTGACCAAATTACGACATGTTTGCTTGTGCTCAAATTAACCCTATAACTGCCAGGCCAGAGATTATATCAAACTGATTCGGAGGATTTTGTAGCAGATTTAGATGTAAAAGGGGTAACTAAAGATGTGTTTTTTTGCGTAACGCACAGCATAATGTTTATCACATTACCACTGTTATAATCTAATACAAAGAAACAGCCCGAAACAGCTTTGAGTCTGGCTGCGTAGGTGTAAGGTGTATGCAAGGCTTTTATGCTTCTACCTTTTTTTGTGTTTTACGACCCTCGCAACTGCATAAGGTCATGTGAGCGCGTGGGACACATTAAAAGCATTTTCAGTTTTGTAGAAATTAAATTTGAATGTTGCCGACGTGACGGCCGAAGCCAACTCTGATCGATTTTAGGATCACCAAGGGGTCTTTAACGTACTCAAATTACACTCGGGACCTCCGAGAATATTCGTCCATATCCGAGAATGCTAAGTGTTAGATCTTACCTACCCTAAGATCAGGGTTGTGGCTGAAATACAGCATTAAAAAGGAGCCAAGGAGTAGCAGCAGAAAGGCAACTGAAAGAGTCAGGAGCCCAGAGGAGGGAACTAAGGGATGGGAGTGGGAGGGGGGGGGGGGCAAAAAGTGGAGATGAAAACATGCCAGAACATGGTAAGAGAGCAGGAAAGGAGGTGAAAGGAGAAACTTTTTGAGACAAAAATTTTTTCCCTGGCTGTCAGATTTCGAACCTGGGACTTATTGAATGAGAGGCGAACAATGTCCCTCTAGATCCCGAGTCTCATTCTACCTGTGAAATAATCTAACAATGTTCTGACAATTTATTTCCTGTTGCTTTCTTAACTTCCTAGGGTGCGGGTGCTACCAAATGGCCTGCTTCTGGGCTATCCACCTGTCGTTCCGTGTTGACTGCGTTCCCCCATTCCTAACATTAACCCGTAGTGTACCACAATCGATAAAATACTGCTGTCGAAACCGCTTTAACGGCTACCTGCCCAAGACAGTTATCTTTACCAATGACATCCTCCCATTCCCCCATGCATTAAAAAAATGATGTTACATGTAGAAGACTGTCCAAGATGTCAACCTGTCTCAGACAAATAGGCCGGCTTGGACACTTTCGACTTTAGTTATAAGGTAAAAAGAAAGGCAATGCGGAGCTGGTGGACGGAACAGAAGAGTTAAGGGACTGTTGTCATGTTCACGTGCTGCTGATTAGCCCAAACATTCAAATGTTTAGATAAAGCCTCTTCTTTTAAAAGTTCAAGTTCAACCGCTGTCTGCTTTTTCGCCGTTTCTCCCGTCAACTTTGATCGCTCGGTTTGGGTTTTTAATTTTGTTTTTTGAGGAGAGAGAGAGAGAGAGAGAGAGAGAGAGAGAGAGAGAGAGAGAGAGAGAGAGAGAGAGAGAGAGAGAGAGAGAGAGGGGAGGGTTGGGGGTGGTCCGAGAATAACTAGTGCTGACTGGCACACTATGTAAACCTAACCCAGAACTAGACACTGAAGAGTTGAATACCAGAGAGGAGGTGCAATCCATCTTACTATGAAATAACAGCTGTCTACATGTTTTGAACGTCTCTACGTGAAAGTTCTAGTTTGTTGTTTGCGAAAGGAATGCTACTAGAACTGCGAAATCCGCCAAAACCTTACAAATCACTGCGTCTATGGCTCAACGTATTTATGTAGACTGAAATCTACATGTAATTCAGAGCATGGTATTCTTTATCTTCTGTCCTACTTTCTTCCCTTTCATCTACTCTCCACTACTAGGCCAAGGGCACCTGGTGTGAGAATTATGTGAGAAAGGCGTGATTTATAATCTGATGTACCCACGCAAAGTGTATCTGTTTTACTGAAGACAAGACTCATTTATTCATAAGGCTTTCTGTATGAAAAATGTGTTGTAGGTTGTATTTATAGTTAAAGTATTTATAGTATCTTAGATCTAGTAATTTTAACTGATGGGTGTCGTCTTTCATCGCTGTCGAGTACAACACGAAATGACGTGCCCTGTCCTGTCTTTGTGTGCGTTTTTCCGTATTCTTTTATCTTTTCTTTGAGTATATAGAGGGCCGAAAAACTGGAACCTTTGGAAATACACAAAGGTACACGTACCTTTAAGATCCCAAACATTTTCTGCTCAAGTTCAACTATAAAAGATAAGAATCAACGACCATAGTAAAAACCGCGTCGTGAACTTTTTCAACCCCCCCCCCTACACCCCTCACTATCTCTATCTCTCTCTCTCTCTCTCTCTCTCTCTCTCTCTCTCTCTCTCTCTCTCTCTCGCTATTTGGATTGAATAATGTAACAATTCTCCGTGAACTGTTCGATTTCTCCGCCCCCCCACCTCTCTCTCTCTCTATCTCTCTCCTTTTATCCTCCCACCTTCTTTAGACTCGTCGTCGAACGGGGCCTGCCAGACAGTCAGTTGCCCACCCACCCACCAATAATAAAAGATCTCCTCTAGCCTACCTCTCCGCTCGACAGGACAACTCAACTCAAAGCGTTCCGAGCGACAAACGCACACGTTCAGCGCAGTGTCTCCACCACGAGAGAGAGAGAGAGAGAGAGAGAGAGAGAGCAGTGCCACCACCAC